AGGGGAGGAAGGGGAGGAAGGGGAGGAAGGGGAGGAAGGGGAGGAAGGAAGAGCCAACCATTTCCTCTCCAGAAGAGGACCCTCTCCAGAAGAGGACCCTCACAGAGCCTGACCCACCCCCACCAGCACACTAATCTTGGACTTCCTGCCTCCAGACATGTGAGCAGTGTCTGCTGTTTCTCAGGCACGCAGGCTGTTACAGCAGCCTGAAGAGACTGAAGACACCTGCATCCCAGCACCTGGTACACTGGCCTTTGTTTTTGCCTTGATCTCCCCTGACCTAAGAACTTGAACCCAAACCCGTGTGAATCTTTGCCTTTCCCCAGAAGGCTTTGCACTGCCTCTCCCAGGTGAGAGGGAGAGCCCCACCTGGCTCTCTCCAAATGTGAATCCTCAAAGGACAAAATGGGGTGTCACTAAAGGTTGGTCCTTCCACAGACCTAAGCACAAGGCTTTGTGCGCACGCACGCATGCGCACACACACACGCGCACACACACACACACACACACACACACACGGAGCTGCGCACAATTACTGCTCATTGAGTTTACTTTTGATAATGTTATCCTTTTCTGGAAAACCACTCCAATAATTTAAAAAATATTTATTATATAATTGCTTTACTACAAAACTATGTAGATTGCAAATTAGTTTTGCTTTCATTCATTCAAAGGAGTCCAGCATGTGAATGCACAAGATTTTATCCAGCTGCTCTTCCAGTGGACATCTGCATTGTTTATGTTTGATAAATAATGCCATTGTCCATGATAAATAATGCCACAGGGAACAATCTCAATAATCACATCTTTTCACACCTATGCAATTATCACTTCGGAAATTCCCAGTGGTGGCACAGCTGGATGAAGAGTGGGAAGTTTTCCATTGTGGATAGAGCCCATTTCAAAAACCTATTTCCCCATATTTCATGAGTGTTCTTCGAGAGAGCAGCACAGCCCAGTGCCTGGGAGGGTTTGGGGAAATGCTGGCTGGAATCCCTTCCTCCTTTCATTGGTTGTAAGAGCAGGGTCACCTCCCCTCATCCCCTGAGCTTCAGTGTTTCCTCCACTGAAGAGATGAGAACTCTCACTCCTCCTGCCTCAAGTGGCACAATGAATGGAGAAGCACTGGGAGCCTCACAGCTGTAGGGGTGGTTCCTGCCTTGGATTCATCCTGGCCAGAGTCTTGGTGAGCATAGCCTTGAAGGTTCTAGAACACTGGATAAGTAGAAACTGGAGAGTAGAATTCTCCTCCATCCACCTCTTGTCTCTCCTCTCCCACCAGTCATGTCACCAATCCCATAACCTGCCAGGGGTGTGCAAAAGAACCCCCAGGGAGGCTGTCCAGCGTGTCTCACAGGCTCAGTTCCTGGCCCTGAACACCCCAATTTCCCTAGGAAATAACTTTTGTTCCGTTTTAAAAGTCAGTCTTAGCTGGGTGTAGTGGCTCATGCCTGTGGTTCCAGATATTCGGAAGGCTGAGGCAGAAGGATTGCTTGAACCCAGGAGGTCATAGCCATCCTGAGCAACATAATGAGACTCCATCTCT